TGTGACTCGTGTGATTATGCCATCGCGCTCCATTTTCTCAAGGGCCTGCAAAACACCATCACGTTGGTCGTAGGGAATTACACTTCGTTTCAGGAAAGTGGGTTCACCATCAACTTCCAGTTTGGCCGCCTGTACGTTCATACCTCCCGTATTATTGGAACATTTCACGACCAGGTACTGTAGATGGATGTGCATATTATACATAGAGTTTGTATGGAGCGATACGCAATGGTTCAATTCACGAATGGCGGTTAGGCTAAGTATGGATGGGCTGTTTTTAGCAATTAGGAAGCGGATGGGAACAAGGCAATGTTCTTTGGAATGTACCGTTAATGAAACCTCACTAAGCAATGGCAATTTGTNACCCCAAGGATTCGCACGGATGTCGGATAGATTTCGGCTTGGGGGCAGATTGATCGAAGCACAGCAATAAAAATGATAGATTCCATGCTTCCCGTATTAACAATGAATTTGTGCCTTGTGCCGGACTGAAGTGTCACATCTGTGTATAGGGTGTGTTGGTTTTCGGATCGTAGAGAGAGCACCAGATTTGTATCATTCGCAGCAGTCGGTTGTGCAAGATTGCAACGGGGCTGTTTGCATACTCTCCGAATGTGGCCGGTATTCCCGCATGCATGACACTTGGCATTTCGGAAGCGGCAATTGGAGCGCATATGGTAAGCTCCACATGACAAACGGGGATTGATGCGCTTCTCGTTGCCTGAAGAGTCGTGTTGCGGCTTCGGTACACACTTGGGCAATGGATATCGGGTTGGTCGGGTGTTCTGCCGTTGGAGTAATGTGACTGATTCGCTGGAAGTGGCTTTCATCAGGTCGTCGTGTTGCTCACAGATCTTGCGGGCATCAGCAAAAGTTAAATATTTCTTCTCCAGCAACTTTCATTGAAGAGTCAGATTATTGATGCCTGCCACCAAGCGGTCACACATTTGTTCTTCCAGGCGATCACCATAGTTGCAGCGTGATGCTTGTTTGTTCAGCTGCAGGATGAATTCACGGCAGGAAACAAGATCGGCATGAATCATGGAGTTGAATTTGGCCCTTTCATGTGCTTGGAATTCAGTGGGCAGCAGGTGGTTGAGCAGCAGCGATTTCAGGGACTCGTATAGTAGTTTGGCTGGAGCCTCAGGGAACGCCAGGTTTCTCAACAGGGAGTACAGGTTACGGCCATCAGCAGTAAAAAATAGAGCTGACTGATTCTGTGCACCACCTTTGCGGATGCTGCACCACAGCGCGAATCGTTCAACCCATTCCTCGATCTCGGATGGACTTGCTTGCAGGTTCAGTTGTTCAGTCCTTGGGAGCTCCATCACGCGACGCCAATTTGTAATGTTTGCAATGGTAGTAGTAGTACGCACGGAGTTCGGAGCACCAAACACGCAATATGACTTACAGGACCCGAATCGATAATCAGCTATCACGGACTGGATCGCAGAAGCACTGGACCACAATGGCACGGATTTGCAATGTCCCACGGGAACGAGACGCGAGGAAAAGACCAGAGGACAGGCAGTAAGTAGTTCGTTTATTGGAAGAAATGAGGGTGATTAAATAATATGTACAAAGGGAGATTATTGGCTATCTGGGCTTCCACCAATTGGATTGCAGTACTGCTTGCATAATCTTGCTTCTGTCTGCATTGTCTTGGATTGGCTGGCACCATCCGCCAATGAGGTGTATTCAGAAGCTATGCACGTGTTATTGACGTCAGCATTCAAACTTGATTGATCGCCAATGTCCTGAAACTGTAACGCGCCGCTCCAGGGTAGGCGTCATCGTGTAGGCCTGGATCACCACAGGTACACCATGATTCGCCACAATATGCTCCATCACAACTCTGATTATCGTAGCGGCTTTTTAATCATCGACTCCTACGGACTCAATCCAGCGCGTGAAGTGCTCTGTCATCACAACGAAGTGTTGGTGTTCTCTGGGGGACATCGGAAATGGACCCAGGAGGTCGACGAACCATAACTCACCGGTCTCGGACACTGATATTGACTGAATTGGACATTGTGATGGGCGGGAGTCTGACTTGAACAGTTGGTATTTTTCACATGCCAGCACCTAGTTTGTCACCTCAGCCTGCATATCTGGCCAATATGCCCGCTGTCGAAGCAGATCGTAGGTTCGAGCGCATCCAGTGTGGGCCAGTTCATGACTTTCTTTGATGAGGATTTGACGTAGCTGATTCGGAATGACGACCACAGGGCACCTTCTTCTTGGCTGTCGTTTCATTAAGATACCAGCAACATTCAAATAAAGCTGCTTCCATACGGATTTCCATGACTTCATGTGTGTACTATGTTGAACGTATTGGTATTGCTGGCCTTCTGAGATTGCTTTGATCACCTTGCGGAGTTCTTGGTCCTTGCGCTGTTCCTTCACCAATTTGTGCGGGTCTTCTACCAGCAGCATACTGACACTGAGGGAATCGGCTTCCTCCTGATGAGACAAAATATACGCCATACAGTTTTCGGCACCTGCAACATGAGTGATCGTGAAGTCGTACTCCTGCAGCCGAAGCGCCCATCGGGCTAGTTTTCCTCTCGGGTCCTTGGCGGTTTTAATCCACTCCAGCGGCTTGTGATCTGTTTCTATATGGAACCAGAAGGTATGGTTACCACTTATCTACGGCACAAACGATTGCAAAACATTCTTTTTCCGTGGTGGAATATTTCCTTTCCGTTGGAGTAAGGACCGTGCTTTCGTATTCAACCACTCCGCTTGCTTATTTGAGTACGGCTCCCACTCCAACGTCACTGGTTTCCGTTACCACTGTGAAGCGCTCGCCAATCACCGGCAACTTCAGTATCAGGTGTTGTTCGGTCATGATCCTTTGGAGTTCATTGAAAGCTTTCTGGGCCTCTGGTGTCCATCGGAAGCGATATTCTTTCTTGAGCAAGGCGTATAACGGTTCAACGATATTCGTAAACTTTTTGACGAACCGGCTATAGTATGTAGCACAGCCCAGCAACCGTCTTAGTGTTCTTTTCGATGTTGGGCTTGCAAACTCCTTTACCTTGAGGATCTTCTCAGAAGGTGGCCTCACATCTCCGTTTCCAACCTTGTGCTCAAGTAAAGTCACTGTCGGCTTTCCAATTTGGGACTTCGATCCATTAATTCGTAGGCCAGATTCTTGGATTCGTTTCGAGACAGTTTCCAAATGGAATGTGTGTTCGGTTGTTATTTGACTGTAGACAACAAAATCGTCACCATACACCACCACGTTGGGGACACCGTCGAGTAACTTCAACATGAGGAGGCGGAATGTAAATGGTGCTCCTGATAGTCCAAATGGCTTTCGTTTGAACTGATATTATTTATTGCCCATTGTGAACGCCGTTTTCTCTCGGTCGGTTTTCTTTATTGGTACTTGCCAATATCTCGATCGTAGATCCACAACTGAGAACACTTTTGCGCTTTGCAGTTGGTCAAAAATTTCTGCCACAGTCGGGACTGGGACTGGTTTGTTTATAGTCACCGAGTTCACTTGGCAGAAATCCACACGGAACCGAAATTTACCGTTCGGCGTTTTGACCAGTAGCACAGGCGAGTTATACGGATTTCGAGTTTCTTCAATGATTCCTTCCTTCAACATTTGTTCGACCTGCACTTGACTTCGTCCTCCAAGTGTAGTGGAATTCGGCGTGAAACATAGGCTCGAAAGTTTTCTGCCTTTATTGGAATTTCGTGTTTCACCCAGTAGTATCTCACAACAGTTGTAATACGCATTGAATTCGGAACACGGACCACGTAATACTAATCACGGAACACGGTTCAGCTATCACGGATTGGATCACGGAAGTACTGAACCGTAACTGGGACGGGAGGAAAAAGCCATAGGAATGGTAGTTCATTTATTGGAAGAAATGGGGGCGATTGAATAATATGTACAAAAGAAGATCATTGGTTATCCAGCTTCCACCAATCGCATTCCGGTATTGCTTGCATCATTCTGCTTCTGTCTGGACTGCACGGTCTCGGATTGGCTGACACGATCTTCCTGTGGTATGTAGTCAGAAGCAGTGACACGTACGCTTGTCATTGACATCACCTTTCAAATTTGATTGATCGTATTTGTCCAAAAACTGTAGCGTGCCGCTCCAAGGTAGGGGTCATTTCGAAGGCCTGGATCACCACAGTATTCCAGGTGTTACAAACTTTATTGGCTTTGCTAACGGGTTATACTCTGCCTGTCTTAATGACTGAAGCGCACGCATTACGCACTGAATCCTAGACCAGCTCGGGCACCTGGATGCATCCAATCCTCTGTCGGAAAGCGATCAACCCCACTGATGAGGTAGTGAGCGAAAATATGTAAATCTGCGTATGACCGTTCAATACGACACAACAGCACCGTTGTACAAATAAGTTGTATGAGGCTTTCAATTGAGATGTTTTACTATAATCCTAGACGTGAAATAAACGCTGCTAATAATATGATGAAAAAATATACCACTAGGTAGACTCAAACGAGATTGATAGGGACTAGCTGGGAGAACATTATTGGAGGTTGCATTTTTGAATGAACGGAAACGATTCAAACAACTCCCCAGTGTAGTAGCCATGAGAACGGAAGTGCTGCTGGTGGTTGGGAACCAACAGTCCAACCAATACGCCACGATCTACGGTGGATTGAATTCATTCTGTGAAAAGTTCATGCTTCCCTGCCAGAGAATGTGCAAAAACTATAAAGGATGTCGAAACCAATCGTCCGGCACCTGCCGTTATTGTGGAGAACAGTTTAGTATTCATTATTCCTCTCATGATTTATCTCAAATTAGAATCCCATTAATAACGTGATGTTACCGGAAATTACTTATGTAGCGACAAACATTTTGTTTCATGCATAAATAATGCCATGGTAGTTACGCTGATAGCGTAAAATACTTCTTGGACCGTTGTGGAACACACCGCAGTACAATTTTATCTCTATGTACATATATCAACCATGATTGCATTTGAATCGATAATTATCCGAGTTCTTGCTGGGCATTTCATGGGATAGCTGACATCGAGCGAATCAGCCTGAAGCTTTTGTTCAACAAACCCTTACTTCCACTCATGAGTGTTATGAACTATGTCGATCGCTGTTCTGCTGCATAACTGGCTGTTGTCGTCTGATCAAACCAGTTTCGTGGCATGTAAAACTAGGGATTGTAAATTAAAGTTGAAATTGAAAATTGTTTGAAAAGATGAAAACTTGGCTCTGGCCCTGTGTTAAAGCATCTCCGTAACCAACTAAAGCAATCTGTGCACGAATTGATTATTATACTTGAATCATCTCAACGAGTTCATCCTTAACTTCCAGTGCATTGCAAATATCATGACCCTTAGGACAATCGGGTATGGTCCAATGAGCGTATCGATGTCCCGGATCAAACATTGTTTGGACGCAGATTTCAAATTAAAAGTGGTTGGTGGAAACACTCAGTGTAGTCTGTGGGACCAATAGGCGCGTAGATTTTTTGAGTCTTACTCACGTGATTGGGTCAGGGAAATCACGGTGGCTTGTTCCATCACTAGTCATTTTTTTCTGGTTCAGCCATATTTATTGATATTTTCGGGAGTGGGTGGGTTACAACAGGTCAAAAAGATGGCTGAGATGTGGTTGTTTACGTGTGCTTGTGCGCATGCACACGTGTGTGTCCCCGTGTCCATACAACTTAATCAATGCACATGACTGAAAGAATGCGTCACGGGACTGTGGACAGGGTAATGCTACCCACCGGTTTATGCTCACTGATGTAAAAAAAACAGTCAGAGATGAACCGCATCATCGAAACGAAGTTGGCTGCTAAACGAGAATAACTGTAAAACTGTAATCCCTTTCAATGTCACCGAATTATCACCCCGAGGATGTCTGTTCTCATTGTTTAGAGTGGGAATTTACTTTGTTCTTTGTAGGCCGTTCTTGTCTGAGGGGGGGGGGGGGGGTTCACTACTTTTCCAGGGGGAAAACTCGCCCAAAAGGGACTGAGGAAAGCTTTTGATTGAATGGGTGAATT